AGGTCTTGAATTATTTGACCTTGACCTCTCACCAAGGGCGAGTTGTCACAAATGAAAGGTAGTTCTCGCATTGTTGTTGCTTGGGGCCACACCTGGGATGTTCCTCTAGTTGAGAATGACATTTTGTAGGTGAAAATTCCATGAACACTGTCGGTAGTTTGGCATATATTTAAAGAAACCTCTTATATTATCTAAACAGAGAAATTAAAGTGACAAAAAAAACTGAATCAAAATTATAACTCAAATGATGTGGCCAAAAAAAAAANTTGATCATAATGAATTAAGTTAACAAATAAGATTTGACGAGCTTAGATCAAATTGAGTCAGACCCAATTAATCAAATAATTAGTTATAAGGCAGGTCAATCCTGGTTGGTGGATTCAGTCCAGTTCAAGATTCAAGAGACCCAAAAATCCGACACATGTGGGGAGAGATCATCAGAATAACCACTCTCTCAGATGAAGACTATCTTTAAGTGTACCTATCCTTAACTATAGTTATCCTCCCTGAAAATTTAGTCACTTATCCCTTCACGTCACCGCTTCAATCAAGGTTATGTGCATATAAATTGTTAGCTCTCTCCATATAAGAGGGACATCTCTCTACATAGCTTGCACAACAATCTCTCTTATAACTACTAAGATCACACCTTTAAAAACTACCGGTCACCGTTGTCGTTTTCAAAGTGGAGTAGGTTACATTGATCGAACTACTATACATCTATGTGTTGCTTGTGTTGATCCAATATTTATCTCTTTCATTAATTACTTTATTGATTATTTTATTAATTATATTAAATCATACAATTGACTGTTAATTATGCATAAACTTATTTTGTGCGCATCAAAATTCACAAATTAAACTGACATTGAAGAAACGACCACGTTTAGCCCACTTGTCATAGCCACAAATAACACTTACCAACTGAGAGGTCTTGAATTATTTGACCTTGACCTCTCACCAAGGGCGAGTTGTCACAAATGAAAGGTAGTTCTCGCATTGTTGTTGCTTGGGGCCACACCTGGGATGTTCCTCTAGTTGAGAATGACATTTTGTAGGTGAAAATTCCATGAACACTGTCGGTAGTTTGGCATATATTTAAAGAAACCTCTTGTATTATCTAAACAGAGAAATTAAAGTGACAAAAAAAACTGAATCAAAATTATAACTCAAATGATGTGGGCAAAAAAAAAAACAAAGGAAGGGTTAATTATAAAATGTCCCATTAAACTTTGGGTCTTATTTCAATCAGGTATCTCTCGTTTAAAATTGAATAATTTACCCCCTTCAAGTTCCGAAATTAGCAAGTTGACTAATGAAGTAGACAAAAATTTTAAAATTATTTTTGTACCCTTAGCCTTTATTCATCTACATTTTTTTTTCCTTTCCCTTTGCACAATTGAGCCAAATGCTCCAGCGCCACCAGCCACAAACCACCGCAGCCAACAACCACCTAGCCACAACCACTACAGCCACTATCCAACTACAACAACCACAATCAACCAGCCCACAAACCACTGTAGCCACCACCTAACCAACAACACATCCACAACCAACCAACCAACCCACAAACCACCGTAGCCACCACCCCGCTACCCAACCTCCATAGCCATAAAACACCACATTCACAAACCAACGACAAAATTGTTGGCAGGAATTTGGATTTTGGTTTCAATGGAAAGGGAGGAATTTGGGTTTTTCACTAGAAAAATTGTCAGAGGTGGTTGGGTTTTTCATTGGAGAAATACTCGACGGTTGGTTTTTTTTTCTTTTGATTTTATTTACACAAAAATATTAAAATAATGATAGTTGTGGGCTTTTGATTAATCTAAGTCATTTTTAACGGTGGTTAACTAACGGTAAGAATTATTTGAAAATTATTCAAACATAAAGGGGACAAATTGTTTAATTTCAAACTAGAGAGACCTAATTAAAATAAGACTCAAAGTTTCATTGGGCATTTGTAATTAACTCAAACAAAACAATGAGGTATATTTGGGCACTTTATTTGTTGGGTGAAAGTCAACCCAATACTTTGCCAAATTACAAGGGCTACAAATTTGGTCTCAAATGATGGTCACAATCACACTGCTGTTGTATAAATTTTATTGACACCTCATGTGTGCATGCGGAGGTGGTCGATGGCTTTTGACTTGGTGGAGGTGGTTGCGGGAGCCAAGGGTGGCCAACAACGGAGATCAGCCACACACACACATACAAAGGTGGCTGAGGTTGATTTAGTCAAATTAAAGATTCATTTTTCACATAAGCACGAGTTACACATACAGTAAAATTGGATGAAAATTGTAAAGGTTCATTTTAGATAACAAATCACACAAGGGTTATGCGGCTATTTTAAAACAATAGAGGGCCTAGGGGAGAAAAGGTGAAAATCAAAGGGGTTTGAATATAATTTTCAGTATAATAGTTGAACCCACCCTTTATGCTATAATATGACAATTGTATGAGACAAAGTGAGGTGGATCCAAGTCATGCAACTTCATAATTCAGTACCCAGCGGCCCCACTCTATCCCATTTTGCAGACGTCAGAAAAAGGCTGAGGACAGATTCTGGAAACGTCACGATTATGGCACGTGGATCATTAACTCATAACAAGTGGGCCGCCTCTTATTGAAATGGGGGACTTGAGTACGGTAACGAAGTAATAAATTCACTACCAGACCTCTAATTTTTATTATTTTAATTAATGTTTTTATAATTTTTATGATTTATTTTATAATTAAAAACTTTATTATTTTTATAAATAATTTATCATTTTTGTAGATATTTTTTCTATAGTTGTGGATATTTTTATCACTTTTCTATGATACAAATATAATAAAAACACTCATAAATATAATAAAAACATCTAAAAATATAATAAGTTTGTCCAACTATTCACAACTGTAATAAAACCTGTAGAGAAAAGTGATAAAAATATAGTAAAAAATTTTGTATTATAGCACAAAGGGTCTGTAGAAAAACTTACAAATATGGGGACCGGGGAGAAGACCGGGGTGACCAAAAAAAAAGTTGTATTATATTGTCAAATTTTATAAGGCTCGTCGGTTGGTATACAAGTTTTTAGATTCATTTATAACTTTTGATGACATATTATAATTTTTACACTACAAAATATAATTTTTATGGATTATTTATAACTTTTAAAGTTGATTTTCAAATTTTATTAAAAAAAATCACAAAACTTTTCCTACTTTAATGAATATTTTTTTAATTTTTGTGAGTTATTTATTATTTTTATGTGCATTTTTAACGCTGCTTTGAATGTTTGTATTATATTTGTAGTAATTATTTTTATCTTTTGTTTTGATACAAAATAAATTATAATATTCGTGAGTGTTTTTATCACTTTTATGAATATTTTTATCACTATTGCAATAATTATTTTTATTATTTTTTGAAATTTCATAATAGTCGTAAAAAATCACACAAATAATATAAAAATAATCATAAATTTGATAAATAAATATATAATACCGAGAAAAAAAAAATCAATATCGTAATCAACTCCTAAAATAGGGGTTCATGGAAGTTGGAACCTCCTAGTCACAAATCACATTCTGGACCCAACTTATTTTTTCATGAGGTCACCTACTCTCCCTAGTCTGAAATTCACACGGATTTTTAGACTTCAATCTTAAACATTAAAAATTACTTTATCTTCCCTTTAAGTTTTCAAGAATTCTATGTATCCATGTAAGTTTTTAAAAACTATAATTTGTATAAAGAGTATTTAATTAGTCCATACAAAAAACTTAATAGCATGGCATTAGACCTTCAATAATCAAACGGGAGATATTGATCATCGAGTTACAAACGTGATTTTATGTCATTGATAATACACTAAATCACGACTTACTTATGTTCATAATTAGAACACCATGTCATAAATGAAAGAATAAATGGTTGGTTGAATTGGGAGAAATTAAGGTCATGTTTGGTTTGAGATTGGGAAACAGTTTTTTGTTTTCAAAATTTTAAAAACACCAAAAATCTGTTTTTTTGTTCTTTAAATTTTGGGGAAAAAAAATGAGATTTGAGTCAAAGAAACAAAAAAAACAAGTGTAACTTGTTTTCAGAGTTTTCTTTGAAAATTTTGGAAACAAGGAGAACAATTTTGGATGTTCAAATATGAGTATATATATATATTATGAAATTGTCAATATAAAAATAATTTTTTTTATATTTTTTTTATTAATGTTTGAATTACTGTTCAAATATATATTTAAGCTATCCAAACAGGTTTTACTATTTTTTATATAGTAAATTTGTTTTTGAAATCATTTAAACAAACAAGTTTTTTATCTCAAAAAATATTAAAACAACTTTCTTAAAACTCTTCTCAAAAATTATTTTCGAATATTATTTTTTGAAACGTAAATTAAACAGACCCTAAATTTTCTAATGATACGAAAGAATTAGGTTTTGGATTTTACTAACTATATTTTTGTGATAGGATCATATAGTATTGTAAACTCTTCATAATTAAAAATATAAAATTTATAGTATGTAATAAAGGCCAATATACATATACATATACATATATAACCAATTATTAAAAAATCCTCAATGTTGTCAAAATTTATGTGCTCTTCCTTTTTGTTTGGGATGCTGCGGGAGAGAGTAGAGAGGCGGTAAACAAGACAATTACATTTTGACTTTTTCTTCTATGAGATGAGCTCACTACATTAGACTGATGGACAATAGAATTGAACTCTCTACATATTTGAACTTTTTCAAATTTTATAGTGATGAAAATTTCATACATTGGACCGCTTTTTTAATTTAGTGAAGCACCCACCACACACAGAATCAAAATGCTAAACCCAAACTGCCATTCCATTGGTCAAACCAAGCACGTGAATTAGATATATGTAGTAATTCCACACATGTATACACGCGTCACTTTGGACGCTTGCTGAAGAACATTAACTACATGTAGTCTTACCTTAATGTCTGTCTCTCTGAGGTAAGATGTAAAAGTTTTATATCCAAACATCAGCCACCGCATACGATACGAGTACAACAGAAAAATCTAACGTTCACTAGAGTTCATCACCACCACAACACCACGCGCCACCTTCGCCATCCCCGCCGCCTATGGGTGCCACAGAACCTGTAAGACATCAACACCACCTCCTTCATATTCAATTTAATTCCTGTCTCATGTTGTTTTCTGTTGAACTTATTACCACATGTTTGTGTTTTGTGTTGTTATGTAGGTGGTAGAGAGAGAAAATGGTGAAGCAGTGAGGGAAGAGAGAGAAAGGGAGAGTAATCGAGAGGCAGAAGTAGATTTCAGGGATGTGGAGAGAGGTCCTGAGGTGGGTGCTCAAGAACATGGTGTCCAGACCCACCCTCCAGGTGAATTTCATATGTCAAGGCTTCAAAGACTAAGTGAAACAAACCCTTTAAGACTTGTCATCAATGGTGCCACCAGAGTTGCCACACCCTCTCCTCCTCAGTTTCGACCCACCCCCTCTCCTCCTCAGTTTCGACCCACCCCCCCTCCTTCTCAGCCTCTACCCACCCCCTCTCCTTCTCAGCCTCTACCCACCCCCTCTCCTTCTCAGCCTCGCTCCACCCCAACCCCCCAAGTAAGTCTCACAAAAAACTAT